GGACTAGGTCGAGGTCGCTATAACAACTATCGTGGAAGATCAAACAACAACACCAATTCCCGTATCACGTTTACGACAGGAGAAAAGCAATCAAATAAATCAATAATCTGTCAGATCTGCACCAAAACAGGTCACTCAGCTCTAAGGTGTTGGCACAGGCATGATCCTTCATATCAAGAATAAAAAACGGCGTTATACACCTCGAAGGACGAAAATCGAACAAATGAATGGTTCTTGGACAGCGGAGCTTCTTCTCATCTCACGGCAGATCCAAATCAGCTCAACACAACTGAGCCTTACACAGGCAACTCACAAGTTACGATCGGAAATGGGCATCAGTTGTCCATATCAAATACCGGCAAAGGCATACTTCCTACTCCAACTGGTAATCTCAAACTAAATCACATTCATCTTGTTCCAAATCTGTCATTTAATTTGTTGTCCATTTATCAACTAACTCGAGACAATGCGTGCATTGTCTCGTTCTCTTCGTCTGGCTACCAAATCAAGGAAGCTCGGACCAATCGCATTTTACTTCAGGGACCTAGTCACAACGGTCTTTACTCCATCAAACTGTCCCAAACGCCATCCTCTCTCGCTTTGTTTTCTGCTCAATTCGTTCCCGATTTATGGCATAATCGGCTTGGTCATCCCCATCACAGAAAGCTTCAAATATTAACGAAATTAGACTCCTCTATCTGCACCTCTTTACACAATAAGACATGTAACACGTGTAATCTTGCCAAAAGCAAAAGATTACCCTTCTCCTCCTCTGTTTCTACCACAGGGAATACATTTGAGCTTATACACTCAGATGTCTGGGGTCCCTCATCATATGAATCTATACACGGACATCGTTACTATGTTTCTTTTATAGATGATCATTCACGTTTTGTGTGGGTCTTTCCTTTGAAACAAAAATCTGAAGTAGTTCAAAAATTCATTGAATTCTATCGATGGGTAAAATGCCAATTCAATAAACTCATAAAAACCATACGCACCGATGGAGGAGGTGAGTATGTAAATCATTATTTCAAGCAAGCGTGCAAATCCTGGGGCATAAATCATCAATACACATGTCCCTACACTCCAGCTCAAAATGGCGTTGCCGAACGCAAACATCGACATATTGTCGAAACAACCCGCAGCCTCCTCATACAAGCTCATGCACCTCAAACTCTCTGGATCCAAGCTCTTCTCACCGCAATCCACATCATCAATATCATTCCCAGCTCAAAGCTAAACAATAAAACGCCCTACGAAATTCTCTATAGCAAACTGCCCACATATAAACATCTCAAAACATTTGGATGTTTGTGTTATCCTTGGCTTCGGCCTTACACAAAATCAAAACTATCTTCCTTTTCCATACCATGCGTATTCATTGGCTATGCCGGAACTCAAAAAGGGTACCACTGTTTCGATCCAATAACTCACAAAATCTACACATCAAGACATTTTGTCTTCAATGAAAATGTTTTTCCCTATCAAACCCACAACGTGTCTTCACAGCCACCTCAATCTTCCTTAAACATTTGTCCTCTACTTCTTGTACCCACCAACGCCATTACCAAAATCGTGTCTATCCAGCTCAATAAAAACCCTGTTATAACTTCAAAACAAACTCAAATCTCTCTACCTCTACCTCAGTCTTCATCTCACAACAGTTCACAATCTACCGCTACTACACAGGCAACAAACATTCCTGTCTTCAATCCAGACAACACCACCCAACCTGAACCCATCTCCAAATATTCTCAAAAACAGCCAATTCACCCAATGAAAACTCGCTATCAAACGGGTCATCTCAAACCAAAACAAATTCTCAATCTTACTCACCAAATAATTCATCAAGATCCCACCTCTTATCACCAAGCCAGCAAACAAAAACAGTGGAGGGAAGCTATGTCGGCCGAATTTCAAGCACTTCAACTACAAGGAACATGGGATCTAGTGCCTTTTCTCCGAAACAAAATCCGCTCGGTTGTAAGTGGACTTACCGAACCAAGTATAATTCAGATGGAACCATAGCAAGATACAAAGCCCGGCTAGTTGCATTGGGATACAAGAAGGAATATGGACTAGATTATCACGAAACATTTAGTCCTGTGGCAAAAACTCCTACCGTGAGAATTCTTATTGTTTTAGCACTTCACTACAAATGGTATATACATCAATTGGATGTATCAAATGCTTTCTTACATGGTAAACTCGCGGACACCGTCTATATGAAGCAGCCGCCGGGATTCTTAGATGCAATGTATCCAAATCATGTATGTAAGCTAAAGAAAGCACTTTACGGTTTGAAACAATCTCCACGCCAATGGTTCGAAACTCTCACAGGAGCTCTTCAAACTATCGGGTTTAAAACGAGTAATTCAGACCCGTCGCTATTGATCTATCATCAAAACAGCATTCGAGCTTACTTCTTGATATATGTAGATGACATCATGCTAACCGGGAATCAACAAAAATTCATACAAACAACAGTGGATTATTTACACAGCAAATTCAAAATGAGAAATCTGGGATCATTATCTCAGTTTTTAGGAATCAACACAACATACACCTCATCGGGAGTCATTTTGAACCAGCAGCGGTATGTTAACACAATTCTGGAACTAGCGGGAATGCTCAATTGCAAGCCAGTAGCGAGCCCGACGCAACTCAAAACAACTGCAGTCAAAACTGAAGACAAACCATGCGCAAATCAGCTGCTATACCGACAACTGGTCGGTGCTCTTCAGTACTTAACACTAACTAGACCCGATATATCTTATGCTGTGAGCAAAGTAAGTCAGGCTATGCATAATCCGCTTGATAGTCATTTCGAATCCTTAAAACGCATACTCCGATTTCTTAAAGGAACATCTGATTACGGCTTACCGATCTCAGGTGACTCTCTAACACTTCATTCTTATGTTGATTCCGACTGGGCAGGAGATCAACTGGATCGAAAATCAACAACAGGCTTTTGTAATTTCTTAGGAAATTCTCTTATTTCCTGGAGTGCTAAAAAGCAACAAACAGTTGCAAGATCTTCTACAGAAGCAGAGTATCGGGCTCTAGCATCAGCTGCCACCGAAATTATATGGTTAAGACAACTACTACAAGAACTAGACTGCAAACAACAAATGCCTACCTCCTTATATTGCGACAATACATCAGTTATAGCACTAGCAAATAATCCAGTTTATCATGCTCGAACAAAACATATTAAGGTAGACTATCATTTCATCAGAAATTGCATTAAAGATCAAACAATACATCTTCATCATATCTCAAGCAAAGATCAAATTGCCGACTTATTCACAAAATCACTTTCCTCTATTCGGTTCAAACAATTGTCTGACAAGCTATTCTCATCTACCGACAACATTAGCTTGAGGGAGGGTATTAGGCATAATGTAAATCAAGAAACTAATTTAGTTATAATGCCAGCTGTACTGTACGGATAGTAACTAGTATACAAAGTGTATAAATAGAGGTGCATTGTACAGGAAAAGGTATGAAATGAAATCTGCTTATCACAGCAGAATCTTCCCTCATTCTATTCCCTCTGTTCTTTCCTTTCTCTGTTTGTAACAAAAAAAACATTAGTATTATCGTCAATGTAACTCAACCTCATATCTACAAATACTTCTATTTTTCGGACATTTATTTGATGTGGCGGTCTTAATGACCCAAAATCATTATGATTTATTAGTGACTAACCTAAAAATTATACGCACTGCTAATTAGGTTAGGTATGCGTTGGGTAGTTCTTGTAATTAGCTTATAAGGAGGGCTTTAAAATTCTAGAAGTGATACATCACAATTTAAAATAAGTCATCTTTTGCTAAGAATCTTATCATTCTTTTGTCCAACCCAAAACTTCCCTCAGCTTATGAAAAAATTATTACATGCGGTGTTTGGACGTGTTCAAAGGCCAATTCGGACACGTCAGGTCACCCGATGGGACTATATGTTGGATGATGTGATTCATTTGGATTAACTTATGGACGCATTCAGACACCACATAGAATAATTTCTCTAACTTATGGCTCTACATGTACAGCATCCTCTCCTTTTTTTTGGAAGCTTCTATTCTACGCTCATCAAGAATCTTACTTTGATTACTATATAAGCTCTTTCATTATACCCTAATGATTTCCTTCATTTTGTGACAATTAAGGCTCTCATAGGCAACTAGTAATCATTTTGCACTGGATTTTTTTTTTTTTTTTTTTATAATGCACTAACTATGAAATGGTCGAAGCAAATCTTTTAATTTTTTTTTTTTATTTTTTCTAGATAAATGCAATAAATAAATAAATTGTGTTAAATTATCCTATAATGACTACAAAAATGCTTCTAACATACAACAATATAATAATAGCATCAAATCTATATGAATCAAATGAATAATAGCTTCATATTTTATTTTTATATTTTTCTTTAGAAATCCAATGTTATTTATCTTTATAAATCCTAAGAATTGAAATCTGTCCCGCCTTTCAAAGAAAGAATTTCGTACGAAGTTTGGTCATAATTTTTAATTATTTGACTCTTTAAATTTTTATTTAAAGCGTCAGATTTTACTTGACTCCTACGAAAAATATCTTTTTCATACATATACTGAATTTCCACTAAATTTTGTATGAAGAGCTTCATTTATTTATACAATAAATATGATGTAAATTCAAATATGATCAAAGAAAAAAAATTAATTTATAAAAGTAAAGAAAGAAGGTGTAATTAGTTTGCCTGAGAGTAGCATTTATTAATGGCAGTCGATAGAATCATCGCTCTGAGATGAATGGCATCTTTTACGGGCCACAATGTAGCTCCAATTATACATCATGGCCTACAAACCCATGGCTTAGCTGAGTAATGGGCCTATCCACTTGGCCCAATAAACTATGTAATGTGCGTCAGTTACGCCGTAGCTGCTTAAAAAATATTATTGCTCCGTCCAAACTAGATCAAGATACGAACCTCAGATGACCGTCAGATGTCAGAATGCCTTAAAGATTCGGGCGACACGTTTTATCACGTCCCAGAACCATCTCTGTTCTCCCTGTGATCGCATTTCCTCGATTTGAAGTCGTGACGAGACGGAATGCCTGTGAGGGTGGTGGAAGGCTCAGCGCCTTCCCAGCGTTCAGGTCAAGTTTTTTTTAAATTAATTATTGTTATACTACTCCATTTCTAAGATCGGGGAATTGGCTTTTGGTGTCGATTTCGTTAGGGTTACTTTTTTTTTTTGAATGAGTGAAGGGTTTTTCGTAGAAATTGAGGGTTTTTCTTCATCTGTGATCATTAGGTCTTCACTATGTGAATTAGAGGCGGATAGAACATTCTAATGTTCTGAGCTTTAGAACTGTGTGAGAAGAAGAAGATTTGTTTGGAATTTAGGAGTTTTAGTGTGGAAGAATTTGTTAAATCATTGGTTGCTCATATGGCGGATCTTTATTTGATTGTCGGACTATAATTTGTATTTGCCCTTTTCTTGATTAAAAAATTTGACCTTTGCTATCTTATTTCTCTCCGTTCAAATAAAAAATGTTGTGTGTTATTATTTAAAAAAAATTGACTTGTAAATAATTATTTTTTATATCAATATGTGCAAGGGTATCAAAGTAATTTTTTCACATGCAGCTACAGCACAACAGCTCAACATTTATACTTTCCAAACAAAATATATTGATTTATGTACAACAATTTCAGAAAGCAATTATTTGTACAATAATTTTACAACATGATTTACTGACAGCTACAACCATTCCAAACGCACCCTAAGAAAGAGAAGATATTTCATGACTTTTGCCAAGAGGGAATAATTTGAGAGAGGAAGGTTGAGAGGAGAGAATATGTGAGGGGATTTTTTTTTATAATTGGAATAATTAAATTGTCAGTATATATATATATATATATATATATATATATATATATATTTATGAAAATAAGGTTTATACGATGAAATCAAACAAATTTAATTTCAAATCTTGACAACTACTAAAAATCCTATCATCTAAGTTGAAATAAAACTAATTCCAAAATTAAATACATTTGAAACTAAAATGAAATCTTTTAAATAATTTAAATTGCTAGAGTATTCTAAATATAATTTAGAATTATATTGGAAGCACTCATTGTACTAAATTACCTTTCCTGTGGCCAGTAAAACAGTTTTAGTTAAACTCATGTGAAAGCTTCTTCTTGGAAGTTTAGTTTCCATGGAAGAGGAGGCAGTGAAACTAGTTCATGAATATCTCTTGATACTTTGTCAGGTCCCTCTGTATATATGAAGTAGAATCTAGAGACTTGTGGCGCAACTAAATTTATCAATAAGATAATGTAAAATTATGAAAAAATTGTGGTCTAATGTTTGTGCTTGATGTAATTACATCGAACATTGACACAATTTTAGTATAATATATATGGATATCTGCTTGAAACATTCCAGCACCTTTAAGGAAGATTTTTATTGTTTGAGTTCTAGCTTGATATTTCATAAAATGACACTTTTTAAACTTCAGCAAGTTGGAGAAATATCCTAGTTTTTAGAAGGGTTCTAGCTATTAAATAGACTATATTATAACATAATTAGAAATGTTTCCATGTATGTCAGGTAAGTTACCCTGTTATTGTGTTGTGTACTATTTTTTTCCATTCTTAGTGCTTATTATGAGGTGTTAGATGATTCAATCATCCATATTCTACCATCTGAATGTTAGTGTTAGTTGACTTATATTTTCATTATTAATTTGTACTTTATTTTGATTGATATGATATCTTGCAGTGCATATTTACCCATTATATTTTATCTAAATGCCCAATATTGCTTTACTTGCATATACAGGGCAAGATGCATCCAACGGACGTGTTTTGCCTCCTTATTCGCTTTTGAGTGTTGGACGAGTGAGTTCCTTATTTTTTTCCCTATGATCATCTCAATTCTTATTTTATTTTGAAAAACTCTTGTCATCACCTTGAAGATTTAATATGGTTGTGCTGAGCTATCTAGTTAATAACAAGATTAAAATACTAAATTTTGATCTCATTGTGAAAAAGTCAGTTTCAGTAGCTTTATTGCTTCCTTGGGTTCCTGATTCAGTTTCCATTATTGTTTTAATTATTTTTTTATTATTAAATAGTTCAAAAAATATTTGCTTAAGGTATGAAACAAAGAGGAATACTAATTAAGGCTCATGCTATAATATTTTTAATTTGGTGTGGCTCCAGTGATAAAATTCTTGTAGAACTTTGATGGATTCTAAAAAATTTTAGCAAAGTTTAGCTCAAAGCATCTGAGTTTTGGTTGATACTCCGAAATTGAAAATTTTAACTAAAATTGATAAAAAACCAAGAACAACAAAAACAAACAAGCCTTTATCCCATGATGAGGGGTTGGCTACATGAATATTTTTTCTCCATTGTGCCCTAATATCAATCTTAAACCATTGAAATTAAATTGAAATCACCGAAATTGAAAACCATTGTTAATAGTATGGAGTTTTTTGTTTTAATTCTTAGAATATATTTACATGTCTTTGGTCTAAAGAGGATGTGCTGATTTCCAGTCTTGGGAAAATTTAGCGAAACCTTCCATTTGGATGAAGAAGGATATGCATTTGCTAGTGTAGCCATAAGCTATGTGCTTGTATTTGTTTCTAATCACAAATGTTCTGAACACGTGATCGAGAGGAAAATTGAACTGAATGTTCTTATGTTTTAAATATTTAACAATTAATGCTTCCGACTGCTTTGCATGAGCCATCTACCATTGTATGTTTCTAAAATTTCTTACAAATTGTATTTATTTCTTCTTTCTTTAAATATTCATTTAATTACTACTTGCTGCAATTTCTTTTATTACCGACTAAGACTGTATGCATCTATCTTGATGCAGAATGCTTCATAATACAGTGAATGTAAAACAATCATAAGAATGAAAATTTGCAGAGATCAGTGACCACAAAATACACAAAAAATTCACTTTCTTAGGATGCAAACTAGAAGAATAATAATGATATTATCAATTATATTTGAAGATAACAACGAGGTATTTGATCCAAGGAAAATTCAGCAAGCAAAATAAACATTTGCCACAATGAAAAGCATTGTTGTATTAGATTTGACCAAAACCAGGACACTTGCATTACTAATGTCAAAATACTTGAGAAGAAACTAGATTAATGAAATAAATCAGCAATATAGAGAAAATTCAGGCCTCACAATAGTACAAGGATATATCTATCTCTGGAAGTTTTCGAGCACTTACACCACAGTAGAATGAATCCATATTTCATTAGGAACTCAAAAAATTAGAAGTAAAAAAATAGAAATTTTATTGATAAAAACTCTCCTGAGGTTGACTATCCCAAAATCCAATTGGCTTAAGTTGCATTGAAGAAGGCATATAGAACAAGTCACAAGTCTTGGTCATCTGCAACAGAAGTTTTGTAAGATACACAGCAATGGCAAGTCTTTCTTATCTACACAAAAAGACCGCATTGCATATGCATGTATTATGTATATCAGAATATTCAGAAAAACGGTTGTGGGCTACAGGAACCAAATCAAACTCTGCTATAGATTTGATCCTTGCTACAGAACTACTTGTATAATCCTTCTTCTGTTAAGCAACTGGGAAGAAGCTTTATGGAAATAAGAACTCCGAATTTTATAAGTCAATGCTACAGCATCTGCCTAATAAAAGCTATAGGAACCTTAAACCTCAAAGACTCATATATTGTAACGGCTATCAAGTTGGTTGGATACTTTGGCTAATTATAATCTCTTAAGATTGGTTCTCTAAAAGCCCTAATGGTTTGCCATAATTATTGTGGGCTTAAATGGGTTAACTCTAATATGTTGAGAGCTAGACTCAATGTAACATCCAGCACTTATTATCAAGCTACTCGGATCCATAACATCTTATAAAAATAAAAAACTATTACCAAATAAATCACGTATTCTTCTCCTGTGAATTAACTAGATAAATATAATTAACATTGAGATAGCTCAAATCAAGTTTTGATGCGGCATCATAAACTCATAAATAATTAAAAATCATAAGTAATTAAAAATGACTTTTGATTTAAATACTCTCTTCAGGTTTGACTCAATATGCTGAGTTGATTTTGATTAGAATAAAATAATTGAGCAGATTTCCATATAAATATTTATTGGAGAAGCATATTTTATTATAAACATGCCTAAGTACGCTTCAATGGTTGGCCTGCAAAAGCCCATCACAAGTTTGGGCTAGCCGAAGTCCAAAATCGGGTTTTGGAGGGCCTAAATAAATGAGGTTAATCAACCTTGAACAACCCATTCGATCACACCCCTATATGTAGCTTCCACTTTGAAATGCCAAAGAAATTTCTAATAGAAGTTGTAGGAGTTCTAAACCTTGAAGATTCACATAGAACTGCCACCTTGATTCCTATATGATCGCATAAGCATGCCTGAAATGTAAAATCATAGTGTGGACCCTAAAATCTCTGTCAAATCTGTCCTAATTCATGAGTCATCACAAATAAATCTATCATTTCAATATCAATGTATATATAGAATCGACTATCAGTTTTGGTCACAATTTCATCATTTAAAATAGCTTTAAGAACAAATTTTATCAACTTGGCTGGCAAAGTATTGGATTCAATTTTACAAACAGGATATGGAAAGAGAGAAGAATGCAAGAAATTAATTGCATATTTATGAAATAAACTCAAATTAGATACATTTAAATACAAATCTATCACACTTCAATATCAAGGTAATATCTAGAATCCACCATCAGTTATGGTCACAATTTTATCATTTAGAATAGCTTTAGGACTAAATTTTATAGAGTTGTCTGCAAAATATTGGATGCAATTTCAATTTGTTTAAAGCCTCATACAGCGTTTTGGATAAATTTTGGCTCAATCTATTCCTAATATCTTGCTTAAATCTTTAATAAAATCCATGATGGTGATGAAATAATCTTGAGGTAAAAGGACATTCAGTAACAAGTCTCTTAAACTTATCATAATATTTAAACACATTGAAATCATTTTGTTCCAACACTTAACTTGATTATTCACTTGATTTTTATATTCATCAAATGAAATTTATTGCTTCTTAAGTGCATGTTTCAAGTCACTTCATCTAGATTTAGTTTTGCTTTCAGCACCCCACCAAATATAAATTGAGTTTATCCCATCAGTTTTCAATTCATTTAGCACACTCAAGTTTTTCTAAATCAAATAGATGGTAATGCTCAAATAATTATTTCAAGATATCATTACATTATGAAAACTCCTCAAGATTATGTTCTTCATCAACTTTAGGTATTGAATTTTTATTCTCATGATAGTGGTAGTGTGTTTATCTAGAATCATAACTTGATTATATTTAAACTACCAGAACATAAATTAACATTTGCCCCAACCATCCTCATAAGACAAACTGTAGAAGAGATTACTCGGACCAGGAATTTCCTAAAGAGAACACATCAATACCTACATGTTAAAATTAAACTAAAAATTAGGAAATAAAAAATAAGCATAAACCAATTTTGCTGATTTTTTTTTCCTTAACATTCAAGATTTGCGCATTCATCGAATGGGATCTCCATCATACCCCTTCCTGACAATTTTTTAAGTTCGCATTGATAAGCCGGACCATTTCCTCTGGCCTTTTCACCTGGGTACGGATGCTAGAAAATTTTTTTTTTTTTTTATAGTGAAGGTACTCTTTTTATTTCTTGATTAAGCAGTTTATTTCTGGTACAGGCCTTTGCTGGAACACAGAATGTCTCCAGTTTACAGAAAGATGAAGCATGGAGGGTTAATGTACGGATCCAAGGATGTGATCTTGATAATGGTTATTTATGCGGTACCATGGAAGCACTTAATGTTCCACTAGCAGACACTCCTGTAAGTTATGTTGCGAATCTTGCACTATATAAATCCCAGTGTTCCGGATAACAATTTTAGGGGCTAGAATCCCTTATTCTCTATGGCTGCTTTCCAGTTTATAAGCTTGAGCTGCACCTTTATGTATCATTAAACCTCTGGTCTTCATTCACTTTCGCTGGCATACACTCAGGTTGTTACTTTTTGGGAAGGAGAGTTAATTGATGCGAAGAACTACACATTTTACACTGGCAAGTGGGAAGCAACGTAAGTCTCCCATATGTCTACTAGTTTTCTGCTGAATAAACTTGCAGCAATTTGACTGATTATTTCTACTTTTTTTACAATGTACTACTTTTATTTTGAGCCATGAATACTTCATTTACATATTTAAGGTTTAAATACACCAACCTTTCCATTCTGACAGACCAGATGATGACATAAGACATTGGTCCAAGTTCCCATCCTTTGGTCCGCTTCTGGTAAGATAAAACTAGTATAAAATTCAAAATATTTCACCAAACGAACCAAATGTTAACCGTTATTTTTCCCAGAGTCAAGTAGAAGCAGATGGTGGCAAGTCATTGGACCTGAGCAACTATCCCTTCGTGTTTATGGTGCGTACCTGAAATCTCTTTCCTCTTATACTGTCATTATAAAGTTTGTCTGATAATATATCCTATATATATGCAGAGATGGAAAGAGCAGTATTTTGTAAATGTTGGAATAGATTGTGGTTTGACAATAGCTGGTTTCTACTATGTGTGCTTCTCCTGTAGTGATGGATCCATTAATGGCTTCTATTACGATCCAAACAGCAGGTAAATTCCATCACCTAAATGAAGCATCCTTATGAGTGTTTGATGAAAGTATACTTGTTTTCATGATACAGTAGAAACTTTATGTTTCTTAGAAATTGCTACGTCATTAATTAAGTAGGAAACATAAATATTTCTTATTCGTTTGCTCTCGCGGAGGAAACTATTTAATCTTCGCACTTGCCATGATTGTTTGAGGAAATTCGCTTCTGCTGGAGTAAACAAAAAATAATTATTATCTAACAATTATGCGGGTAATTTATGTCTTGATCATGATTCCGTGGCATTTTTTTGGGAGTTAACGAACTGCCTGCTATTTGCTTCTACTTTATTGAATAGCATAAGCAATTTCAAAGTGTTTGGTATAATAATTGGGAGAAAAGGTTCAATTTTATAAAAGAAGAAAAACAGATTTTTTTTGTGCGGTGCTTAAAGGAACATCCCAGAAAAGTAATTTATAGAATCTTGCTTTTCTATATTATCCATTAATTAATTAATTTAATTATAATCTAGTTATGATTGTAATGTAATGATATAATTATGTCAAACCAATTTAATATTCAGATGATTCTATCAACCCATATTAGTACTCCCATAGTTTTTAACTAAATGAAGACAATTCTTACATACTTTAGATATCAATTTTAGCATGATTTAATTAAACAATCATTTCAAGATAGCAATGCTAAACTAATGCAAATAAATGAAATGGATAGTTAGGCTAGGAGTCTTAAATTGATTAGTTGTTTAATAGGTTATTACGTGCCCTTTCTAATCTATAATTATGTCGTCCCAAACGAAGCCTAAATATTCATTTTGACTGTTAAGTCAGCAAGCAATCAAAATATAGAAGACATGACACTATCTGGAGTTGGAATTTGGGTTTCTTACCATGATAGTAATATTATCCCATTTCAATGCAATATTACTACTGTTTTCTGTATTGGTTCGGCTTTCTGTCTAAAATTTAAGCACACATTTGCTGTTTCCTTGTTCCTTCGATAATTTTGATGAAGAGAAATATGAGCCTGCGATGATGCTCATTGCATCATATGGAGTTTTTTATATATGATTCATGCGTAGCTCAATTCTGTTTTCTGATATTTTTGCAGCCCATTCCAGAAGCTGGAACTAAAATCTGCAAACGACGGACTTTCAGGTTTCACATTTTCATCCTACCAGCTGCAATGAGCAAAAATCTTATAGTAAAAAAAAAATGGCAGTGATGTACCCAGATGATCCATGCAGGACTTTGTATGTATGTTGACTGTTGCTAGATTTGGCCATTAGTTCCAGCACTTCTTTCGAAAGGTTCCTAAAGTTGTACTTATTTTTAGATTCTCTCATTTTTCAATTAGATTTTTTTTTTTTTCATGAGATTAGCACGAGTGTTATGGTGAAATAGATGGGGATATTATCAAGAGAATTTCGGTTGGATGGTTGAAGTGGAAAAATGCATCTGGCTCAGTGGCTTTACCCTTAGAGATAGGATACGAAATGTGCATATACGTGAAAAGGTTGGAGTAGCTCCAATGGAAGATAAAATTATAGAGAGTCGCCTTAGATGGTTTGGTCACATAAAATGGCGGCCTTTCGTGACCCGGTTATGAAAGTGGAGGTATTAGATTTGACTTATGTTAACAAAGGTAGAGGTAGACCTAAAAAGATTTGGTTAGAAAATATTAGAAATGATCATTCTTTATTAGATTTAAACGAGAATTCGACTTTTAATAGAACAATGGAAAAAGGATTCTTGTAGACCCCCCCCCGGTAGTGGGACAAAGACTTGATGTTGTTGTTGTGTAGCTTGTATCAATGCTGATCAATATTGATCATTGTGCTGGAATATTTAGTGGTGGTTGGTCATCTACCTTACATTTTTTTTTTTTTTTGGACATTTAGGCCATTTAAGGCAAACTCACACACCCAACGCATACACAGAGACTCGAACTCAAGACCTCTTAGTATGAAGCCTAAGCTCTTAATCAACATGCCAAGTTGAGCTGTATAACATTTTCATTATATGAGAATCTATCTCGTTGAGACGTTCATTTTAATTATAAGCAAATAAAATTAATTAAACAGATTCTCAAATTGTTGTCCTAAGAAGCTTTAAATCATATTTTTTATACTTAATTTAAGCTCATTAGAATTTGAACAAATTTTTCTTAATATTATTATATTTAAACACCCATTTCTATTTTGGACTACATTTAAAACAATAGAATTAAAAATATCAAAATAAATTCTAATAAAATTCTAATATGGATTTTTTTTGTTCACTGAGATCTAAAAATTTAAATAGTGATTTATGCTTGATCAAATGAATATCAATAACAAAATCAATCATTAGTATAAATTTTTACTTTGAGTAAGCTCTGGAAATCTCTTTTTTTCATCCTGTTAAAAAAAATCAAATTTTTGATTGATTTAGAAGCATTTATTTCTACTGTCACCAGAATTAAGTAATTCTAAAAAAGAAATTTTTTTTTTTTAACATTTAGATCAATTAAGACAAATTCATATATACATCATATAAATAGGACTCGAACTCAAGCTCTCTCAATTGATAGTTAAAATTTCAAACCAATAGATCAAAACGAAATGTGTAGATTCTCGGATGTAATAATGTTTAAAATCAGTGGCAAAACTGTAATGGTGAGGGGTGGCAATTGTCCCCTCTTAAAAAAAATAAAACTCTTAGTATAATCAAGGTTATTTATGATTTGCCTCCTCTGAATTTTATTTTTTGTCCCCAGTCGATCTTTTTTTCACGTAATTTGACCCTCTAAAAATCAGAAAATTTTTTGGCCACCTGCTATTTTCATCCAATTATGTTAAATTTTTTTAACACTAACGAATAAGTCTATAAAAAATAATATATATTTTTATTTTTTTATAAATTTGTTATTTACCCTGAGAAGTAAATAAAAATGGTTCTGCCTTATTTAAAAATCTTCTCACTGTTTTTGGTGTTGACAAATGGAGAATGGAAATTAAGATAGAATATGTGAAAAGACTTTGCTGATGGTGGTGGGGGAGGCAGTGAGGGACCAATCAATCACTCACGCTCTTATCAAATCTCATTTCTCTACAGTACACCCAACACGTGAACTTTATAATTTTCATGGCTCTTATTTTTCAATAATCTTTTGTGCTGACATTACAAATCTAGAAACCCAACCTTTTTGGTCGAAAAAAAATATAATTACGAAATTGTTTTAAAAATTTTTTATTAAATATTTTCCTCTATTCTTAATATTTTCGAATTTTAAAGTTTCCCAAAATTTGAAATTATATTAAAATCTCAGCTTTCACTCTCAATATTTTATCAAATTCTTCGTGTTTTGATTTAAATATAATATAAATGAGGTTTATTACATTATTCTTTTTAGGTTGTTTGGTAGTTTTGTGAATATGTTTGATGATCTGTTTTTATACTTTTAATTAATTAGAGCTCGTTTGATTGTTTGTAATTAGAAAAAAAAAAATATTTTTTAAGAAAAAGTGATTTTGATATTTTTCTTAATTAGTGAAGAATTATTAGCAGTTCTCATATACATATATAAGTACTCTCTTAAGCAAATTCAAAGACCGCAACAGAATTTTTTTTGAGGAATTTAGTAGATTACACTGCCTTCAATTCGATCAAAATAATAGAAAAATTATAATTGATATATCATCAAAAAATTATGGCCCTGGACTTTCGTCGAACCACCAACTGATGCTCGGATTTCCGCCGGACTTCCAACAGATTTCCGCCCAACCAAACGTCGTCAGACCTATGCCTAACCTCCGTTTGTCACTAGATTTCAACTAAACGATTGATTATTGTAATCTGATTGCCCTCAAGGATGATTCAGTCAACAGTAATCTACTCAAAGACTAGTTATATCATTTCAACTCGGCGTGGCCCTATATAGTTTTTCCCCTATTCAGCATTTTTCATATAAAAATTTTTGTGTTCTCTATTTGTATGTTGGATATTCGTACAACGCTGAGACGTAAAATTCTGACACTACTGCCGCTTATATTTTAGCCCGCAACAATAATGAATCGTGGACTTACCTATATGTGAAGGAAGCCATGCATGACAGTAACGAAAGGACGACTGAATTCTGATACTGAGATGACAGATCGAGTTTCAGAGATTGAGTTTCGCATTTTATCCATCATTTATAAGGCCATGCAATCTGAATATCTATAGATATAAAATAATAAATGAGGGTCGTGTGTTCACGCTAACACGAGAATTTAACCCAATTCATGAGGAGAGACCTCTCCGATTTTAAAGCCTCCACTCACCGATTTCTTCCTCTTTCTTCGTGCCCACATTCCTTCGTTAGTTACAGTAACTTTTCACCACACGAGGATCGTCACCTTGCTTAATTATTCTTTTCTTATTAACTCATTATTTAAGAAAATTTGCATAAAAAATTGCATGCATGCCCTCATGTAAGCACCATCATGCAAATTTCCTGTTTGTCGGATGGATTTCTGCAAAGTTCTACGTAGCTTTTATATATTGTTTGAGAAAAAACAACAGTGATCGATCTTTTATCAGTTGGAAAAGATTAATGGAGAGTTGTAGCTCTCTTCTGTGCTACGAAAAGCTATTTACTCCAAGTCCTGAACCTTCCTTTTCAGTTCAGTTTGAAGACAGGGAAGAAGAAGAAGAAGTTCGGTGCCATTGTAGTTTGGAAGAATTCTCGGTTCTTCGTTACTGGCATGCCGAAGAATTTTCTAATTTCTTTCAGAATTACTTGCGGAGAGAGCACAAATATGCAGCTCTTGATGGTTATATTGAGCGTATACAGTCTTCTGATGAGCTAAGTACTGCAAGATTCAGAGGCTTGCAGTGGATTTTATTGGTATCGGTTAATTATCTTCTAATTAAGCATTATTTGCATGGTTTAATGACTTAGTTAAATTAATCATCAGTTTACTTGTGCAGGCTGGGCAGAGGCTTGGTCTTACACATAAAACAACTTTTGCTGCTGTGAATTATTTGGATCGGTTTCTCTCTGCGAGCCGTCCATCTGTGAGCATTTTTAATTAAAAATCTTTAAGATCGTTTTATGTGCAGATTAAGATCTTAATTACGATTTAATTTGGTTTGTTTCAGAGAAAATGGGAAATATGGATGGTAGAACTTCTATCAATAGCTTGTTTGTCCATTGCTTCCAAGTTTGAAGAAGTCTGCTATCCCAGCTTTGATGAATTTCAGGCGCAGGTATTCATGAAGTTAGATATTGTTCTATTTTCTTCCAATTTTTTATCTGAAAATTTGGAATTAAGAAATACAGATGAAGGAACAAAAGTCAGATCGAAAGTTTGATCCAAATGCAATAAAACAAATGGAATTTTTGGTTCTTAAGGTCTTGGATTGGAAGCTCAATTGTGTGACTTCATATTCATATATAGAGCTTCTTAGCGCTAGTCTCAGTGCTCCATTAATGGCGCGTATAACTGATCTCCTTATTCATACTCTTTGCGGTAAGAATTATTAATTTCTCATTTAATTCTTAAATAATTTGATATATCTAGCAAATAAGAGCTGTGAATTAAAAAAAAACTCAGATTCCAAGTTTCTGGAGCACAATCCGAGCGTGGTAGCAGTGTCTGTGTTGAAATATGCTGCTAAAGAAATTGCTCCGATGGGATTGGATGTTTCCTTTGCATTTTTTGAAGCTTTAATTTCTGATGAATGCAAGGTAAATTTTCCTTCTGAACATCACATACATATTCTCTTAAATGATAAGAAATTTGACAATCTTCAAAATATTGCAGGCAAAAATTGATATTTGTTCTAAGATAGTCGAGGATCACAATATTGTTTGGGCCGGCAACGCGAGCAGGGTAGCGGGCAGGGCGGGAAATCGAGCAGGGTAACTGGCGGGCAACGGGTAGGGCGGGAGCTCGGGCGGGCAACGGGCGGGAGATCGAGCAAAAAGCTCAGCTTGGGTTGGGCGGGTAGCGCGAGCTGGTGGGAAGCCGGTCTTTTTTTTTAATTAAAATTTAGATATTTTCCGCCGGCCTTTTTCCGCCGGAAAACCGGCGGAAAAAATTTGCCGCCGGTAATAATTGATTTTCCTGTAGTGTCCGTCCAGTATCGAAGGTTTCCGGTAGCTTAAATGTTGGTTAGCCGCCAAAAACCTGTAGCAATTGCAAAATAAAAAATAAAAATTGATAGCATCCCCTCTATCCAAATAGTTTTTCATAAGTACATGCAGTCAGTTCAAAACACAAAACAAGTACTTTTAATCCCCTTCTATCCAAACAGTTTTTTAAAAGTAGCTACAGGCAGTTTTGCACAGTTTAACCGCCGGAAGTTTCGCCAGTATTCAAAAAATTTCGTGTAATGCTTTTTCACTCTCTTCTAGTTGATCTGATACATGGCCCTCTATCCAACTCCATGCTGGTTTCTTCCTCACTCTCATACCATACATTACCTTACGAATTCCAGCTGAATTATACCAACATTCATTAGCTGCAAATACATTTGAAAGCAAAACATGTGTACCTGCGTCATTGGGACATAGCTCAAATAACCGGTTTGCTGCATATTTAGCAATCTCCACATTCCCATGAACTTGGCATGCGCTAAGCAATGCTCGGTACACTGAAACGCCAGGCTTTATTGGCATTCTGTTGACGAAAATGTAAGCTTCATTAAGATAACCAGCTCTACCAAGAAGATCCACCACACAAGCATAATGCTCCATACCTGCAACAATCAGTGAGTCTCCTTCTTGCATCAGATGGAAAATCTCAAGCCCTTTCTTTACAAGCCCAACATGACTACAGGCTGAAAGAACTGATAAGTAGGTTGTTTCATCTGGTTTAACCCCAATCCTTTTCATTTCTTCAAATATTTCTACTGCCTCTTTGCCATAACCATGCTGCGCACACCCTGATAGAAGAGAATTCCATGAAATCAAATCAGGATTATCCATTGAAAAAAACATCTCCATTGAATCATTGATCTCTCCACACTTAGCATACATGGAGACCAATCCATTCTGAATGCTTACATTGAAATCATAGCTGCATTTTAGTATCAAAGAATGGGTTTGCCTGCCTTCTCTAAGAGCAGAGGCAATGGCAATAGCTCTGAGAACACTCGCAAAAGTGAAGATATCTATATCCAAGCATGCCTTTCTCATCTCCACAAACTTTGCAAGCACCTCCCAGCCATCTCCCAGATGGGAAAATCCGGTAATTATCGAGTTAAATGAGACCTGATCCCACATTGAAACGTTCAAACACACATTCATGAAATCCACTGAGCTTCCACATTTCGAGTACATGGTCACAAGCGAGACTGCAATGAAGGGATCAAAATCTAGTCCTTCTTTAATCACAATACAGTGCACTTGCTTTCCGTAAACCAGATCATAGAGCCGCCAAAACGAGCTCAGAAGGCTATTGTAAGTCATCTTATTCATCACAACTCCAAGTTGCCTCATTTCTCTAACCAGTAGCATGGCATCAATTGGTCTTTGGTGCTGAGCATACCCAGTAACCAGAGAAGTCCAAGTAACCACATTCCGCTCATGCATTTCATCAAACACTCTCTTCGCACCATGCAAATCAGAACATTTACAGTACATATCCACAAGGGCTGTTCCGACAACCACATTAGAGAAAAACCCATGCTTTAAACCAATACAATGTAGCAAGACTCCAGCCATGAGATCTCTCAAATGTGAGAAGGTGGCTAGAACAGTGGAGACACTGAAAGGAGTTGGAGAAATTCCTTCAACAAGCATCTGAGAAAAAGCCTCTATTGCATGATTCGGGTTTTTACTAAGCGAAAGACCATGAATCAAAGTGTTCCAAGTAACGACATTTCGTTGAGGCATATTGTCGAACAGCTGCTGCGCACTGTTAAAGTTACAGTCTTTGCAATACATATCAAGGAGGACGGTGGTGACGAACACGTTGGAGAAAAAACCGAGCTTGACGATGGCGGAGTGATATTGCTCGGCTGTATAGACAGAGAAAGAGTTGACAGCTGCGGAAAGGAGCTTGACGAAGACATAGGGTGAAACCGAAAGCATCGAATTGGACTGTTGGGGGGCGGAATCGATATGAATGGCAAGAGAAATAGATGCGGCCAAAGCTTTTTGCGACGGCAGGTAGAGTAAACGGCGGCGAAGAAGGGGAATAGCAGAGAATAGCTGGAGCATCGTACCACCATTTTCTCTTCAGCTTGTTTGTTTCCACCGGAACGTACGCAGTCAGCTCCTTCTTAGAGAAGGAGAGAGTCTTCAGAGGAAGGCGCCATGCCCATGAGAACAACAAGTGCTTCGATGACTGGTTTGAAATCAAAATATGCTATATATAATGAAATAAAAGCCCAATGCTCTTCATTAATGAAAAACATACATTCTAATGGTATTTGAAATTTATTTAATCTTAATTTTATATTTTCTTATTATTAATGATATTATTCAATAAATATCTTATTTTTATTCATATCTCAATCAAATGATGTTAATGAATGCAAAAAAAAAAAAAAATCATTTGCTTGTTGTTGCCTGAAAAATAATATTTCATATGAATATTCCTTTAATATTGATGGCAAGTAATCTTAATATTCTCTTTTATTCCTTTGATAATCTCACTTATATATTTTTTATCAATAATAACCTTCACTTTATGTTACACCTTGAATATTTGATTATGTATATTTTGTTCAAGTGTTTTGATCATATAAAAGGAATTCTCATCATGTCATTTAATATATTTATTAAGTATTCTCTGATTCTCACACTCGATATTAATATTATGATAATCTTAACTAATGCTTAATATACTTCAAGACTATACCTTTCTTTTCTCACTCCCCTTTACATTCTTCTTCACAATTTGTTCCTCATCCTCCATATGTTCCTATACCAATATCTATCCTACTATAAATTTACTCTTGATGACCATAACCTCCCTCCATAGCAATGCAATCATCTATATTCTGCGTCAAATTCAATCTGAGTATCCACATATGGATGAATCTTCAATCTTCACTTCCCTATATTCTTAGGATAAGATCAACAATATAATATTGCTCATCTTATTCATTTTTATGTCATTTGAATATTAATTCTCTTCCTTTAATATATTTGTCTTATCCTTATTATCATATAGAGTTCTTTTGGAAGCAATATATTATTCCTTCTAGAACAAATTATTGGCACTTAGGTAAATGTTGTATTCAGTCTTTTTGTCACCCCCATGCATCCTATCTACTTATATTCATGATCCTACTCCTCCAATGCCTTTGCCCTCACAAACTCCTATAATATGAGTGTCAAGCTCTCTCTTTTCTACATTCTCTCTACTGAGGACAAATGTTCCTGAAGGAGATGAAGCTTTAAATTTGACTCTTATGGGATTGACCCTTCAACAGCACCCTCCTTCATGCAACTCAAAACCGATAGAAACTCAAATTTACTTTCATTCTTCTATCTCTTATAGAAGATTTCTTTCTCTTTAAATTTAATTGTGCGGACAATTTCAATATGGCGTATAATGGTTCTTATTTGATCAGACTTTTATCTTGCAAATGTGGGTATCATTTTTCTAGCAAGACTAAGTTGATTTCAAAAAAAAAAAAATCTTGTAGGTTAAATTCCCGAAGTTTCCTGTTTGCTATTGGAATGAGAATGGTTCGCAAAGATCAGTGGTAAAAGTGGAAGCCCCTTAGTTGTATAATCCCTCATGCATTCCAAATCTAGGCTCACTTTACCAAGAGTGATGTGGACAAATTAAATGTTGGATGAACTGTGTTGATTTAATATTTTTTAGACAAATATGTACAATTAGTATTAATTATCTCGAAGGATAAACTAACACTTGTATTGTCGATTTGAGAAAAGAAATAATTTTACTATCATATATGAACCCAGGATAGGAGATGTAACAGTTATCCCTAAGGATAATATCTACATCCACCTATCATTTCAAATACAAAATTAACCGGAGATTGGTTTGATCAACATCCTGAGATTTTTCCCCTCTTAGTGAGCTAAGAGAGTGTTTATTTTATGCTAGGATCTTGAGTTCCTATAGAGGCAAGCCTCTATAGTCAATTATATCTCCGAAGAAAAAACTTTCGATTAAAGTGTAGATTAAAATCTAAACTTATAATACAATAATGCGTAAGCAAGTTGCCTTAGATTGTTTGAAAATACCAATTGTCATTTCCAAAATTATTGAATTGTACAAAAAATGAATTGATATTTAACAAATATATGTATTTATTATTTATTAGGATATGAGGTTTGTACATACGACTAGGCTTATGCTTGCTTAGAATGAACAGCCAACTAACAACCTAATCCACAAACAATCATCATAGGTTAAATGCAGGATAAAGGTAATTCTATCCTAAGGGTTCAAAGGAGTAAATCAGACTCCAAATTAGAAACTCTAGATGAATCTTCACTTTAAGTTCAAGTGACACTAGCGAGAAGACTCACTAAGAACTCTATATTTTATGTTATTTAACTAACTTAACTAATTTTTTAACCACCAAAATTCTGAAGAAATTTTGACAGCATAACGACCCTAACAATCGAAGAACTATGGTAGCCCTGTCGCTTAGGCCCCTCATACCTTGTTATTGGTTTATGTGCTAGGCTAGTGTGCGTTGCACCAAATAAAATGCACGTATGTATGCGTGTGAAGATAAAGGTGTTCGTATATATAGTACCCAGTACTGTATCATCCTAAGGCTTATAAATGAAATGCAATCATCCCCCATATATGATAGATGGCTACATAAAGCCTCAATGTTTTATTAAATGATTTATTAGGGATAGAGAAGGGAACCTTTAATCCAATACATATGCTCTCCAAGCGGAGTCAAGCATAATGTATAGGGTTAGCAATTTATTAATATTTGATTAAGTGTTGTAAAAATTTATACACTCATGTCTTATGCCTTCCATGAGTGAAAGCTAGCATTTTGTATAAAATCATTAATTTGTTATTAATGATTTATTAAATTCCTTAATCAAATATGTAAGTGCCCTTCCAAAAGGAATCAAGCACCACATAAAGGGACTAGGTGGTTTAGATGTTTTAAAGGCTTTAAAATTTAATGTTGAAACACCCTCAAAATGGAATTAAGCATCAAATATGAAAGTCTTAATATTTATATAATAAAGATTAATTATCAAATAAATTATCATATTAAAATTTTTTATGCATAATATTTTGTTGAAATTTTTTTCTGATTTCTATTGAATTATTTGAAATTTTCAATTAATTATTAAAAGTTTTAATTAATTTTAATTAATTATTTAATTTTATTTAATTTGAATTATAATTAAATAATAATTATTTGAATTATATTATTATTATTGATTAATTATATTAAGAAATTGATTATTTAATTTAAATTGAAATTAAAAAATTTTTATTTAATTTTTATTTGAATTTCTTTTATATTTTTGAATTTTTTTTTATTTTAAATAATTTATTTAACAAATATTTAATTGAAGGTAATTAATTATCAATTAAATTAAATAAAAATTAATTTTGTATTTTAATTTTTACTGATTGTATGATTGATTTAAAATTGATTAAAGTTGATTGTATACTTTTATAAAATTTATTTGATTTATTAGAATTTATTGAAATCTAACCCTTAATGAATGGTTAAACTCAATTGATTGTTGCTTTGAGGTCAATTAGTGTCAAATTAAGGGTTTATTTAATTCTTAATGTGCTTGGTTACTCTATGTTTACTATGTTTAAAGTTTCACTCTTATTGAGTATATATGTGGATCCTAAAGATGTGCCTAAGTTCATTAGATACACCTTAATTATTATTCTTAAATGATCAAAATCACTAACCCTTTGGCATATATGTAAATCATCAAATCGAAATAATTATGGTATCCAAAGACTGAGAGAATAAGCATTATTGAGTTTCCAAATATTAGAGTTAAATCATAACCTAATTATTTGAAAATTCAAATAATGAACAATCATGCATCAATTTAATCAATCATGTGTGTAATTTTTTAGAAGTCTCCATCGCGCTCTGCTAGGGTTTCGCCCATGGCGGCACCTGTTATGTTGCCGGCTTGTGGCGTCTATGATTTGTTTCTCTTCGTTTTTCTTTGCTTCACTTTGTATTCTCTCTTGGCGCCCTATCTTTCATCGCAATTTTCCACCTCTGACTGCTCGTTGGTTGGAATGGTGGTAAATCGCATGAAGGATCCTAATTTTTTAGATGGTAAATCTTATTCTCACTCCTTTCTTGAGGCCCCTTTCTGGGGCTTCGTCTTTGATGGTATTTCCCAAGCTTAAATACACTACATATCGTTGTTTACTTTCACAGTGGATTTTAGAAGGAGAGGTTCTCACTTTAGCAGCGTCATTCAGGTTCTCCCTGATTAGTTCTTTCCTTGATCACCGATCATCCATCGATGTCATTCGTAATTTTTTCTTTCACCTCAAACTCATTGGAGTTTTTTCTATTACTTTGCTTGATGTTAAGCATTTGCTGATTAAATTGAGCAAGGATTTAGATTATAGTCAGATATTTTCTCATCTCTCTTATTACGTGAATAATTGTCCTATGAGGCTTTCCAAATGGTCCCCCTTTTTTACGTCAATGTGGAATCTCCTGTCATTCTAACTTTGGTTTCTTTCCCTAACTTATGCCCCTATTTCTTCTCTCCTCATATTCTTCATGGGTTAGGGTCGTTGTTTGGAAGACTATTAAAAACGGACAATGCGGCTGCTATCAGATCATGTTCATCTGTTGCTCCTGCTCTCGTGAAAATTGACATTACGAAATAATACCCTGACCATATATGGCTTGGCCCCAATATATTTGGGTATGTCCAATCGATTAAAATGGAGGATTTTCTCTCATATCATGTTCATCATAAGTCCCTTGATCATTCAAATTTGAAATGTGTTGTTTTGTATCCTAATCGTATTGTGAATTCTAAGATTGCTACCAATAATCTTGCTATTGTGGTTGATGCTGTAACCGCAGTGGATGATGTTTTTGCCTGATATTCAAACCCATTCGATTCTGCTGCTTTGCCTACCGACAATTTGGGGGTCAGTTTAATGGGTGGTGATGATGATCGAGGTGCTTTTAATCATTTTATCTTCCCCTGTTTTGAATAATGATGTTAATGGCATTATCTTCGCACGCCTTCATTTCGATAATAGATGACTTTACTTTCTTATATACGCATAACTCTTTAAAACATATTCTTTCCAAAACATCATTAACTTGCCAAAAGAAAGGATCAAATATGGCTTCTCATTACCATCAACTTCCACTTAGCATTATCATCGATGTTCACTTGACATTGCCGTAATTCAACTCTCCTTTGCTTGGAAGGGGGCAGTAAAATGAGTTAATTGATGATGGAATGTATGAAATAAAATTATAAAGTCTCATTATAACTAGCAAAACCTTACAGAAAAATAAGAAGTATCAGTAATGTTGCTTACGCTCAGAGATGGCGCATTCTATAAATATACAGTAAGGAAAAAATTTGCATGATTAAGACTTCGTTTGGGACGACTTTCTCATGCTTCTTAAAGTAAATTTTTAGTACAAAAATTAAAATTTTTTACTAGAATGCTACTTTTAAAAGCAGTAAGAAAACCATCCCAAATGAAGCCTAAGTGTAAGTGTAAGCCCTTATGCACTCTTAGCACATAGATATCTGCGCATATCAATAATATCTTCGAGCACCATCCAAGATCTTATGGTTGAAGACTAAACCTTAGAGGAAGATCATCGGCTAGGATTGAGAGGAAACTTACCTGTATCTTCCATTCGGATGAATCGGAAAACTTGTTGACATGCAAAAAGTTGAATCCATTTTGACGTTCGATGACCATAATTGAATTTCCACTTGGCTTGAATGGGGTCAAGAAAATAAGTTAAATAACGATGGAATGCAAAAATTGGTGCGTTTCAAAGGGTAATGTTGCCCTTTCCTTGACCATAAAATAATTTAAAAATGACACTCTGAAGGATATCCGACGCATGGATAAGTAGTTGCAGTTTTCATGTATGTTAATCTAATTTGAAAGCAAGAAACTTCAACATGTTTGTCAACTTGTTTTGTTCACTAGCCCTAAATGAAAGTAAGTTGAACGAGCAGTATGAATGGAAGCTCGCAAGTGCATATCTAAAAAACCAATAATTTGTTAGAAAGGATGACCGCAGGAGAAGGGAAGGGTGGTGGTTTTGTCATTTAAGCTTCGTTTGGGACGGCTTTCTTCCTGTTTCATAAAGCAACTTTCTAGTTAAAAATCAAAATTTTAATACTAAAAAACTATTTTAAGAAGCAGTAAGAAAGCCGTCCCAAACGAAACCTTAGTATGCAAGTGAAGCCAATAAGTACCCTATAATCAACATAAGCAGACTTGAAATTTTACTTTCGTTAACAGCTTTTAACAATGTGCAAAACCTTTCAACGTAATCTTCTTCCTGAGCATCAAAAAGTGGCACACCATTAAGATTATATTATCATAGTCCTCTCCACTCAGAAAAAGAGCAGACAACTATTGGAGGGTGTGTCGCCGGATTATTGAATTCCCACCATGTTCTCCATGCTTCAACGGGGTAGGTCAACTTCACTGATGACATTATAGTGTCATAAACATACTTAAATATTTAAATAATGAAAAAATAAATAAAGGAAAAAGATCAAACAAAATGAAAAACATAAGGCAAATGTAAAGACTTTTTTAACTGCAAAAAGTTTGGGTTAAAGGAAACATGACAATGTCACCATTGTTGCTGAGCTAGTAATCTCCTCTGCATAGTCAATTAAGTCACAAGCTTGCAAGACGAATGCAAACTCAGTCACTAGAGAGCTTATAGGCTCTAATTTCACTGCCCAATTGTTGCAAAAACACATTTACCTAGATTAGAAATTCTTTAAAGAAATCTAAAACAAAACATAGTAGAAAAACAAATTGTTCTCTTTTATATTAAACCGTAAATGCCCAATCTAGTTATCTTTTTAGCAAATGTTGCACTGAAGTATTTTGCAATCTCCTTTTACCTAACACATAAATTTGAATTCTCTTTTATGATCTAGACAAAGAAGTAAAAACTAAACCTTGTTGAAAAATCTTCTGATATGACAACAATGATGAGGACAATAAGCCAGAAAGAACTACAGACTAGAAATAGGCAGACCAATCAAATAAGGAATGCCTTAGAACTCCTGCTCCAACCAATACAAAAGAGTTATAAAACAAGAACTCCTTTCTCCTAGGATCATATTGCCTTCTTCTTTGACCCTCAGAGGTCTCTCAGTTTAGATCCATCCTTTAAGCAAGGAGTCCCAGTCAGAGCTCAATCACCATTACCTCAGTATCGCCCAAGTTTGGAGCGTAGCTCCTTTAAAAGACCTTCTTGATAGTTACACATCAATTTAGTAGGTAAACCTAGCTCCTATAGTGGTTTGGGAAGATAATCCCAGCCCAATTCCCAAACTAGTTGGCCCAAAATGTCAATAAGAGTTTAGCACAATTGAGGTTTATTCCATATTTTGGCCCACATTTATACAACCTTAGGAGAATTATATAATAGGAAGTATACAAAATCAAGAGCAAAAATTTAGTTATATGATTAATTACAAAAAAAAGAGTACACAAAAAGGCGAGGTGACATTCATGAGCACGCAACTCAATAAAGTGCTAAGCAAAGAGCCGAGCAAACCATAATTTGTGGAGATTAATTTTCAATAAATTATATACATGTATTATCTAAAAATTGATACTACTGGTCAAGAAGTATCAGCTTGCTTACAAGAAATTGATGTTTTTAATCTAGTCAATGTCTTCGTAAATGTTTGCCACTTGAAGGTTTGTGAAGATGTGAGGAGGAAAAATAATGAGTAGAGAAGCCTTCCCGAATTGAGTAACAATCATCTTCAATATGCTTGATCCTCTCATGACATACCTGATTGACAACAATGTGGATGGTAGTCGTATTGTCAACATGTAGAATAGTGAGACTTTCTTGAGAAAAATCAAGTTAGAAAAACAGTCCACACTAAGTTATTACTTAACTCTTCCATGAGAGCAATGAGTCACCAAGAAACATATACCACATGAAACTAATTGCCAAGTATCAGAACACCCTGTCCAATCCGCATCACTATATCCCACCATGTGACTATAGGGAAAGAATAAACTACTACTCCGATGGTAGTCAAATGTAAGTGACAAATTCTACATGTATTGACTTACTTGCTAGATTGTGAAGGAAATATATAGTCAAGTAATGGTCAAATAGCTTAGATTACCTACCAATTATCGTTATGCAGAGATTAAAAAAAATATCACCTTCCTCACTAGGATACTTTGGTTTTACTTCTAATGGAGCATTCTTAGGAGAAGCATTTTGAAGACCCACTAAGTAATCAAATCATGTGTATATTTATGTTGGTTTAAGATAGTACGAAAAGAATCCGTGTGTACTTTCAAACCTAAGAAGTAAGTGAGGCCCTGAGATTTTTCATATAAAACGTGACTTAAGGATGTTGTTGAAGATAATTAATTATAGCCAAATATGTCCCATTCATCTAAACCTATAGAATGGCAATTCCATTAGATGTTATACAAAGTAATAATGAAGAATCATACTTGTTTAGTGTAAAAAAAAGGTGGAGTAAAATAAACGGAAATTTATCAAATCATGCATAGAGAGGCTATTTCAAACCATATAGGGAACACTTTAGTTTACATATTGTCATAGGAGTAGAGACATACGGCTCTTGAAATTTTCATTTGGATATCTTCCTTAAAATCATCATGAAGAAAGACATTTTTAATATCCATCAAGTGCAGTATACAACATTATAAAACAACAATTGAGATAATCATTCATATGATGATCATCTTTGCTACAGAAGAAAATATTTCTTTATAATCAATCATACATTCATTCTTGTTTCTAAAGACAACCAACCATGCTTTACAGCGATCCAAAGTGCCATCAGAGCAAAGTTTGATTGAGTAAACTTATTTGCATTTGAAGGGCTTCATATTTAGAGGATACTAAACAATCTCCGATGTACAATTATACTGAAAAGCCTAAAGTTCTTCAGCCAAAGTTTCTTTCCAACAATCATGTCTAGTAGCCTCTGAATAGCTTGAAGGAATAGGAATTAAGGCCAATGTGAAGAAAAAATCATACCTATAAGGATAAGATATTCTAAAAAATATTTATGAACCAAGATAGAAACCTTAAAAGGAAGCTCAAGTGGTTAATTAATTTGGGCAAGCTTAGGTGGCGGATCAATTGGCAAAAGTTCAAGTGAAAGATTTGACTCAAAATTTCATAGAGTTGGACACTTTCTTTCATGCACAAATTTAGGTTTGAATGTTTCGAGACTAGAATTATAATCAACGACATTAGACAAAACATTAATTTCTAGTAGAGGCTCAACAATAGGAGAGAAAAAAATGACATTCAAAGAATAAAATGTGTGGGGAGATTTGAAAACTTTTGGAGCCTAGATCATAACACACATAGAATTTATCAAAAATGTCCTAGCCCATAAATATAAATATTAGATTGAGCTGAAAATTTATGACATTCATATACGAGCAAATGAATAAAATAGACAAACCAAATGTGTAAATCATTAAAGTTTGGATCTTTCTAAAAGAGATGATGAAAAGAAGAGTCAAATTTCAAAATACAAGAGGATAATATATTAATAAGCTAGATTGTTGAGCTTAATGCTTTGACTAAAATTTTAGGCGAAACTGAATATTCCAGCAATAAGATTTGAACAACATGAGGTTGCGATTTTTACATTCGACAACACCATTTTGTTAAAAGGTAAAAGTGCATGATCTCTAAAAATAATTTTCTTATTTGAAGAAAGTTATGAAACTCAAGTGACATAAATTCACCTTTAGAATCATATTTTAATATTTTATATGTGATGAAAATTAAGCCTCAACATAAACAACAAATTTTTAAAAAATCATAAACACTTCATATTTCTGACGAAGAAAGAAAATCCATGTATCTTATTGTAATCTTTGATGAAAGTTCTAAGGTATTTATAATTTCTATGTAAAATAACATGAGTGATGCCCCAAACATCATTATGAATCAATATTTCTAACGAAGAAAGTAAATCCATATACATTTGTTGTAATCACTAATAAAAGTTGCTAAATATTTATAATTTATCTATAACATAACATAATGGATACCACATACATCAATATGAATCAAATAAAAATACTTTTCAACATAACTACCACGTGATAGAAAAGAAAAACTTTTGCTCTTCTCTAATTTGCAAGTTAGAGGTGTTAGATGAAATAGGAGAAGTAAAATAATTATTATTTTTCTAATAAACTAAAATTTATTAAATGAGATATAATAATAGTAATTGAATGACCTAATATGTTATATCAAAGATCAATATTTTGATATATCATAGTACATGATGATGAAACCACCTTCGAAATGGAAGGATAAAAAGAAAATAGTTGTCCAACTTTAAACTCCTTCATGAGTATTTTGCTCATCTCTTGATCCTGCAGAGTGCAACCATTACGAGAAAATCAAACATCAAAGTTATTATCAACCAATCTTTTTACTGAAATGATAGTAGTTGATAGTATATGAGATATGAGAATATCTTTCACTACATGATTAACATGCCCAATAGTTTTGATAGATAATTGATTATCATTAGCAACATGAATAAATGATCCATGCCATGGTCAAATATTATCAAACAGATGTAGTGTCAGTCATTAATTAAAAGCACTAGAATCCACAAACCAATATGAAGAGAGTAGCGCATTCATACTTAGAAGCCCTAAAGTAATTAAAGATTTAATTATCATCAATTGAACTATCTCAAGGGTAACATCAGATTTGTCTAAGGGCTTCTAAACCTACAACCTAAATATTATAGTGATTACTTATGTTAAATTTGATTATCGATTATGCTAATGTTTTCAATATACCTTGATCACATGCCCAACTTCTCATGATATATGCTAAACCTTATTTGCACAATTAGCATGAACATGTACGAAATTCTTGCAAGTGTAACATTGTATCAATGCATGCCTTTTTATTCTTCACATGAGCTGCATATGCAACATCAATCTTGTATGATTGAATTTGAAATATAATTTGCATCGCAAGCCTATGCTTCCAACAAATAAGTCTCTAAAGCACACCACCAAAGATGAAGTGTCATGATTCGTCAAATTGGAACGAACCAGCTCAAATTCAAGATGAAGTTTTATCATTAATTGAAGTCATTTGCTTTGTTCAAGAACCTCTTGAATAAAAAAATTACATTCATAAGGTACTTTTGCATAGATTATATCATATCAGCTAATTCTAATTAAAAGTTTTGAAGCCCAAAAATAATCCTTAATTGAGAAGCCTCCTTACGTTTGGTATACTATCTTCATTGTAAACTTTTTAGAAATATTCTTATATATTCTTTTTGTTTTATATGGCCTCAAATAAGGAAAAATAGCATGATCAACAAATCCTAAGGTCCAAGTCATGACGTTTGACACTTCATTTTGCCATTGATCCAATTTTGGAGATTTAGAGAGAATATGATCACTTCCATCAACATGATCCCATAACTTTTTTCCCATAACAAAGAATCAAAATTAAAATTTTATGTAGAATAATTTTTATTTAAGAGTTAAACACCAAAAATATCCAAATTATTAGTGGCTGTGTTTGTTATATTTCGCAAGATATGAACATTCCTCACAACAGAGAGATATGATCTTTTTAGAGATATGGAATTACTAAAATTAGAGCCAAGAATGGTTGAAAATAGAAGAAGCTTCAAGTAGAGAACTATCTAGTGTTATTCACCTAAGAAATCGGGAGTCGTATAGTGAGCAAATTCGCTATTAATACCAATGGTTGGGTTGTGACTGATCACAAGCAAGCCAGCTTAGGATGTGCAAGCGATTCTCGTATAGGGCAAGCTAGAATGCTTCTTGCAGTTCACCAACAAGATCAACAGTGAGATTAGAGATCCGCGATAGAAGGCTTTGAGATTAATAACAAGATCGATGATCAGGAAACCAGGAGAGATTATAGATATGGGTGCATGGAATGAAATATTAAAGTTTATAGGATTGTATGGGTGTAATTTTATATAAGTGGTAGGAATGTGATGTTAAAGTTTTAGATGTAAGATATATAACTAGCATAAAATAAAATAGTATGTAGGTAAATCCCCCTTTATTTATAATTGCGCGAAACATAACGATAAGAAACAATCGACCCAAAATTGAAATCACCTGCCCAATTATTCGCCCCATAAGGATTATGAGCATCAAATCCATGGCATGACATGCCTCCCTGATGATTATTTAACGGAACCACACCATGGGACGGATGATGTGGAATGGCGTAGATTGGCATTGGGATCATCGTCGGCACGTTGTAAGGCATAGGCATTGACGGCGGCCGCGGCTGCTGCTGCAGCTCCTGTAGGTTTTGCTGCACGGTAGTAGATGCAAAGACATGATCCGAGGAAGAAGGGCCCTCATTAGAAAACCCCTGCATCCGCTTGAGGTAGAGTCTGTACTTCTGGAGGTGGCTCGCAACGTTCTCCCTAGTTAACCCATCCACGTTCATCAATTGCATAATGGTTTTGGGGACCGCGTTCTTGATGCCCAGATGGGCGATCACGTCCACAAACCTCTTGTGAAGCTGCGGCGTCCAGACCAGCCGCGGTCGTTTCAGAGCCCGCTGGTCGTCCACGGAATTTTCCCCATGTAGGGCAGACGAATCAACAGCCTCCTCGGGTCCAAGTTCCGGCAGCCTTCCCGAGGTTTCCGAAAGAGGAGATTCCTCCGGATCTTCAGCTTCGAGAACCATGAAGCAGTTTCCATCATCAGCTGCACCACCGGATGCTAAGGGCTTCAGCGATCCATTTAGAGGAGAAGAAGCGGAGGGTTTACGGCGGACCGAGAGACTGGAGATGGTGTGTTGACTAGCTCTATGAACTTCGAGCATGGTTTTAAGTTCAGCAGGGGGGATACTGAAGGCCGATGCGAGCGCCGGCGGAACCAGAGGCAAAGAAAGAGGAGTGAGATCATCTCCACTTGGCAGCCCATCCTCCCAATCGATTATCCGATCCTCGTCGCTTCCTCCTTCGCCGTCGATTCCGACAACGTTCTGGTTGGCATCCTTCCCCATCGCAAGACTAATCAATCAATCTTATTAGAAGCGGTCGTAGAGATTTCCTCTAGAACTAAAAATTTCTATCGGAAATTGCAGAACTAGGGTTTCCGATCAACGACGAACCTTCGCCGGTAGTGGTCCTAGTGGATGAATGAAGAGAAATGGACGCGAGGGTAGACGACTAGAGAGTGGGGAGCCTTTTCTGGAAATAAATAATCAGGTAGCCAGAAAAGGGAGCCTTTTCTGATTATTTATTATTAAAAATTAGACAATCAGGCCGTGCCAACTGTCCACGTGGGCTGCTTGGGCGAGAACCAGGATTAGGAATTGCGGCCGGATCTCGACGCAAGGCTGCGAATATACCCAGAAGGGCTTTACGTGGCGGGCCCAAGTGGTTCCTCCAACTATAAAAGATGACGTGTCATAATAGGATGATTTGCAGTGCCAGTTGTAACGACGAGACCCTTTTTTGGGGGGAGGAAAGCTGTTCGCTGTTAGTTGACGAACAGCAGTAGTTATAGGATACTTAGCTGAATGAGCGGTCGAGATGTGATCAGGCGTGATAAGTGGACCCGTTGATGCGACATTTGATATGCTGTAAGTGCGGTCTTCCAATTAGACAATAGAATCAGATCTATGGGTGGATTCGGTTACTTTTAGATGACCATATGTACTTATGAAATAAATTTATATTTGATATATCATAAAAAAATTATCTTGATTGTCATGAATTTTGAAGCAAAATTAAGTTGGAAGCTTCAAGAATTAAAATTGAGACCATCCTAATTCTGATTTATGCAAACTTACAATTGAACCAAGCGTCTTGGAAACACGAACCCAACGACACCAAAATCAACCCAATTCGAGCCCAAATGAGTCCAAATCAAAAAACCAGAAGCACTTTTAGAAGGATCAAACCATAATTTTGGGTTACCAAACGGTCTCCAATCGTGAAATGCTTATAGTTGAATCGAGAGGCTCGACGAGACGAATCCAACAAGCCTAAGATCATCAAATTCTAATATCATTAAGATAGTCAAACGTCCATTGAACGGTGCATGATCGCAGGAATCAATATCGAACGTCCATCCGAATCACTCCCAATTTATCATTGGTCTTCCACTTATTTACAAGTCATGTCACTCAAGAATTCTATAAATAGAACATCTTTTCCTCTTGAAAAGAGTGGAAGAACCAAGCAAGAAGAAGAGAAAACAAGAAATGAATGAGGGAAGAAGCTTCTCCTCGACCATCGTCGAAGTTCCGCTCGACTTTTAAGTGACGTCGAAATTTCACCCGACTTTCAAGTGACATCGGAGTTCTGTTTGACTTTCAAGTGACGTCGGAGTTCCACCCGACTTTCAAGTAACGCAAGAATTACACCTGATCTCCAAGTGACGCTGGAATTCTGTCTGATCTCCAAGTGACTCTGGGATTATGTCCGACGACCCAACATCATTGAATTTCAATTTCTCGTTTGTAACTAAATTTCAACCCGGGAGTTGATTATTGTAATATGATCGTCCTAAATTTTAAGGACGAATCAACCTCTTGTAACTCAAGCAAATACTAGTATAATTCTTTTCAACTAGGTATGGCCTCGTGATTTTTCCCTTTCCAGGATTTACACATAAAAATCTTGATGTTTTATTTCTCTTCTATTTGTGTGCTGGCTATCCATACAATGCTGAGACAAAAAAAATCTAATTCTACTATCATATATATTCTAGCCCGCAACAATATCATAATATAAATAACGATGAAATTAAAATTATTAAAAATTTAATAAAAGAAAACAATATTCTCATGTATTAAATTCATTGTTTTAAAAATCAGATTGGATCGGCCGATTCAATCACAAATTGATCAGATGGCCGGTCCGATCCAGCTTGCAAAATCAACTTCATATCAAAATTGAATTGAACATGCAAAAATTGGTTGTTCAACCAGTGAACTGATCTGAGTTAGAAAAACCAGCTGATTCTTTAAAAAAAAATTGTTTTAATTAAATTTTAAACAATATATTTTAGTTTATTAAATTCTTTTACTTTTTTTAATTTTTTTATTAAATGTGATGATCAATTACATCATAATATATACATATTATCTCAAATATTTCACGTAATGTGTTTAATAAAAGGTGTGTACTTCACATCATATAAAGATAAAAGACAACTATCTCAAACTTCTCCTATGATCTGGAACAAAATAAGTTGCATGAATAATTTAGAATGTAAATTTGATCTTTTGTCATAGTAAATCTCATCTATAATGGTTATTGAGATGATTTATAATCTTTTATGAAAACATAAAGAAAAATTGCGCTAAAGTAGCCAATCACTTTGAGTTATCATTTATAATTGGATCAAAATCAAAGTAGTTCTTATTTTAGGGTTTAATTGAATCCACTAGTATTTGTAGTCACGACAATACTACAAATTTACGCGGTCCCCAACACACAAACAGATAAGAGAGAGGATGTAACATTCATAAGAGACACTATTATTTTTACGTGGAAACCCCTTAAAAGGGAGAAAAACCATGAGGCCTAGCCCAGTTTAAATGAATCCACTAGTATTTGTAGTCGATTACAAATGAGTCCCTTCTTTAGGATATGCATTGGCTTGATGCCACAAATATACATCATATAGAGCACATTACATGGTGGGAGTTACATAGACATGTTTATTTGGTTGGCAGGACCATAATTGATGGGATAGAGGTCAGAAAGACCATAATAGGCAAGAGACCAGGGTCAGAAAGATCGTTGTTTGGTGATGGAGGTCAAAAGGACCATAATATGCAAGAGACAGGGTTCCGAAAGACCGTAGTAGTAGTGTGGTACTCTGGTAGAACTCAGGGCATCAGGTGTTGTCCTAACAGAAGTTCGGGCTATAGGTGATGGTCCGGTAAAAGTCCGAGCCTCGGGTGGTTGTTCGACGACAGTCCGGGCATCAGATGGTGGTCGGTGGAAGTCCAGGTCTCAGGTGGTGGTTCAATGGAAGTTCGTGCTTCGGGTGGTGGTCCGGTGGAGCAACGACGTCGGACGGTAGTCCGATGGAAGTCCTGGCCTTAGGTGGTGGCCTGGTGGAGTACAGGGCCTCAAGTGGGGGCTAGGTGGAGCATAGGGCCTCAAGTGGTGGTATGACGAAATTCTGGGCCTCAAGTGGTGGTCCAGCGGAGCAACGACGTCAGGAGGTAGTTCGGCTAAGGTGGGGCCTCAAGTGGTGGTCCGGCGAAGGAGAGAGCCTCGGGAGGTGGTACGACGGAGCAACGACGTCAGGCGGTGGTCCAGTGGAGGTGAGGGACTCAAGTAGTGGTCCAGTGGAGCAACGATATCAGGCGGTGGTCCGGCGGGGGTGAGGGCCTCAAGTGGTGGTCCGGCGGAGCAACAATGTCAGGCGGTGGTCCGGCGGAGGTGAGGACCTCAAGTGGTGGTTCGACAAATGTCTGGGCCTCAGGTGGCGGTCCAGCGGAGCAACGACGTTAGGCGGTGGTCCGGCAGAGGTGAGGGCTTATAGTGGTGGTTTGACTGAAGTCTGGGCCTCAGATGATTGTCCGGCGGAGCAACGACATCATGCAGTGGTCCGGCGGAGGTGATGGCCTCAAGTGGTGATCCGGCGAAGGTCTGGAGATGGCCCAAAGACACTCCGGCGGTTGGTCGACAGTGGTCCAGCGGAAGTCCAGCGGTGGTCGAGGAGGAGCTTCTTCCTTCTCTTCCTTCCCTTCTTCCTTCTTCTCTTCATTCTTTGGTCCCTTTCAAGAGAAATGAGGGGTCTGTTTAAAGATTTTCTGAATTGGCATGGCCCGTAAATTTGTGAGAGATCATGGGAAAATGTGGAGTGGTTCAATGGACGGTCGATATTGAATCCCTTGATTATGGACCATTCGTCAGACATTTAAAGATCTTAATGGTGTCGGAATTTGGCGATCTTAGGCTCGTTGGAGTTGTCTCGTCGAGCCGCTCGATTCGACTATAATCATGTAATGTTTGGAAACTGTGATTCGAACCTTCCAACTGCACTTCGAGTCCTTGATTTGGACTCATTTGGGTTCGGATTGAGTTGAATTTGGTGTCGTTGGGTTTGTATTTCCGAGACGCTCAGTTCGACTATAAGTTTACTGAAATTGGAGTTCAGATGATCCCATATTTAATTTTTGAAGTTTCCGATTTAATTTTTGCCTTGAGATTCGTGCCCGATCAAGATAATTTTTTGACTGATATATCAATTCTAAATTTTATGAGGGTAAGATTTTTATTGAATTATACTTATGTTTCGTTTGCATATGTTTTATTATTTTCAAAAATTTGTCTAAAGTTGTTCTTGATAAAAAATTTATTGGACTAAAAATTTTCGTACAAAATGAAACTTTAGTTGGTCATACTGCAGCCACCCTTTTTTAACTTGATTATTATGATTTTTTATATCAAGAATTATTAATTGTTTTACTTTATTATTTATAAAACCATTATTTTGAGTTGTGGCTTTTGTTCAAATTTTTTAAAATCTTCCTTCTCATTCATTTATCTAATTTTGGCATTCTATAGTTGCTTTTATTTTTGGGCCTCATTATTCTACTCAATTGTAGATACTTGGAAGCTACAGTAAAGACCTTACGGGTATGGGCCTCGACTGTCTCATTAGCTCATTTTCATATTAAGCCCATTAAAAAAAAATTTAATCAACTCGGAAAATAGAAAATAATTCAAATCTTTAATAAAAACTCATTAGTAAATTATAAATTAAGCCCATGAAGAGAATATATGCTCTCAATTATACATTTTTTATCATCATATATTCAATTTTTTTATATTAAAACTTGATATATCAGTAAAAAATTATCTTGATCAGGCACGAATCTCAAAGAAAAATTGAGTTGTAAGCTTCAAAAATTAAATTGGAGACCATCTAAATTCCGATTTCACCAAACTTATAGTCGAACTGAGCGTCTCGGAAACACAAACCCAACGACACCAAAATCGACTCAATCCGAGCCCAAATGAGTCCAAATCAAG